CTAACCAATCAGCTTTATTTATACCTCACCACTTAGAGCCTTAGCTTCTTGAAATGTCACTTTTCTCCATCCCCACAACTTAATACTTAATAAGTATAAAATGGAGACACAATGTTTTTCACATCTCTGAATATTTCCTCTCTACATATTAACACTAACTCCTCAATCAGAAGTAAAAGCTCGCTACAGGGCTATCTTTATGTACCAATTTTTCTCTCCATATTATTCTACATGGTGCAGTGTTTAATGGATGAAAGGCACAAAACAATGTTGTGTAAACAATGCTGGTAATGCAGAACTACTCTGCATAACAGAATGGTACAAGCATGCCTCTGTCTTCTGTCCAATCAGAAAACACAAAGAGTGAACCCTAACATAAGCTAGAGAATTCTTTTAAATGATGTGCCAATGTAGGTTCCTCAAGTGACACATATATCACTTTGTTAGGAATGTTGATAACAGATTATCCAGATGGGGAACAGGGATAATACGTACATCAATTTTGCTTTGAACATGAAATGTAAAATACCGCTTCTTTATTAAAAAAAAAAAAATCTTACAAGTCAGAAATACAGAAAGAGAAAGTGAGAGACAGAGAGAGAGAGATCTTCTATGCACTGACTTATTCTCCAAACTGCTGCCTAGGCCAAAGCTGGGTCACACTAAAACTGGGGGACAGGAGTTACCGCCAGGTCTCCCATGTGAGTGTATAGGAGCCCAAAGACTTGGGCCGTCCTTGACTGTTTTCTCAGGCCAATGCAGGCAGCCAGGAGACAAACCTCACCTATTTAGGATGCTAGTGCTACATATGGAGGATGACCATGCTACACCACTACACTGGCTACAATTATTGTTTTAAGAACAGCAAAGCAATGGAATAACTTTCTTACATTGTGTTATCATGACAAACAAATCAAAAATAGAACAGAAAATGAAATATAGGATTTTTAATGTAAAATAAGAAATCCTGCATCATAAAGTTTGTTACATACGCTATAAAAGACACTAAAAATGGAAATGTCAACAACTTTTAAATGAGCAACGTGCAAAGCTCCTTTCTTTCCGTCACATATAATTTAAGAAATATCACCATGCTAGTATTTTGTGATCCAAAATACTGAAATACAACCTAAGGGCTCATTATTAAAACGATTCTTAGTTGTTTTAGTAAAGATTGTCCAAAATTAAATATTTTTTGAAAAGATGTTACCGGATTTGAAGAAAACTAAGTTTCATTTGAAAAGCATTAAAATACAAAAACAGAATGAACTCATAACACATCACTTACATGCTAGACAATTTAATAATTAGAATTCCCAAGTTAAAGGTGAATTTCAAAATTTGATATTCCCTTTTTAAACTTATTCAAATTCTTCAAAGGCATAAGTATAGTTGGAAGGTACAATTTTCTAACTTTCTGAAAAAAATCATGTTAATATATCACTCCAAGTAAAATTAATGCAAAATGAAAGATATTATCTTAGTGTCACCAAATAGTACCCTTCCTTCCAAGAAGATAACATTATCTATCCTGCTGGGGTAAGTCCCTCACACTGCAGTCACTGAAATAAATACACTGTTCTGATAATGTAGGCTAGATATGGCTGTCCCCAACACAGAGATTCTTTTTCACTCAAGAAAATCAGTAAAGTAAATAACTTTTCTTCCCTTCGAGACAATCACAGTGCTTCAGGCTGCCGCAACACGAAAACAAAATATCTCCACAAATGTCTCCAAACAGTCAAGCTGAAATCTAACCCAAAGTTTCATTTAACAGCCTGTCAGTTTTCTGATGTGAAGCTAATGAATGTGGTGGCAAACAAATCCATCAAACCTAACATCGAAACAACTGCACTCCATCCCAACAAACGGAAAAATGAAATACAACCTGCGGGCCAGCTCTTTGATCTACCCAAGTCAGGAAGTAGACCTGCAAGGGCTACTACAGAAATTGCAGAGGTAACGGGAGGTCCCATTTCACCAAAGAAACAATGCTACAGAAATGGAAAACAGTGATCTTAAATATGCACAATTGTCCCGTTTCAAAACCCAAGCTATCTGCTACGAATGTTCAAATCTCTACCAGGAAAAAAATAATAATAATCACTATATATCACTAACAATTAAAGTTATAAAGATTCCTAAAATAAATGACAATACGTTTTACTAATACTTCAGCTTTGCAAATGGAGTTTTATTAAACATTCCTTTGTTCTTTATGAAGGCTCCTTGAGAAGACAAGGATCTCTTTCACTTCTGTATCACAAAATGCCTCCTGCAAGGAAGGACCAGTGACACTGGAATCCCACATCAGAGCACTGGCTCAAGTTGTTACATCTCCACTTCTGTCCCAGCTCCCTGATAAGGTGCCTGGGAAGGTATCAGATGATGGCATACGTAACCAGACCCTTGAAACCCATGAGAGGCCCAGATGGAGCTCCTGGCTCATGGCTTGACCCTGAGCCAGCCTGAGCCACTACAGCCACTTGGAGAGTGAACCAGGAGAATTCTTGGTCTATCTCTCTATATCACTGTGCCTTTTTTGAAATGAATCAAATAACTGAGAAAACACCAAATCTAAAGGAAAATGTCCTCACATTGTGAGACAACTTATTTACAGAGAATAGTCAAGGAAACATTAATGTTGATGGTATAAATTAAGAAAATTTAGAATTTTTTAAAGATTTTTTTATTTTTATTGCAAAGTCAGATACACAGAGAGGAGGAAAGACAGAGAGGAAGATCTTCCGTCCGATAATTCACTCCCCAAGTGAGCGCAACAGCCAGGGCTGCACCAATCTGAAGCCAGGAGCCAGAAACTTCTTCCAGGTCTCCCACACGGGTGTAGGGTCCCAAAGCTTTGGGTCATCCTTGACTGCTTTCCCAGGCCACAGGCAGGGAACTGCATGGGAAGCAGGGCAACTAGCATGAAGAACCGGCACCCATATGGAATCTTAGCACGTTCAAGATGAGGGCTTTAGCCGCTAGGCCACCACGCCGGGCCCAAAATTTAGGATCTTAGTGGAACAATCCAACAGTATCTTTTAGAAGTCTAGTCTCCTGCTCAAATATAGAATAACTAGGCCCGGCAGCGTGGCCCAGCAGCTAAAGTCCTCGCCTTGAATGCACCGGGATCCCATATGGGTGCAGGTTCTAATCCCGGCAGCTCCACTTCCCATCCACCTCCCTGCTTGTGGCCTGGGAAAGTAGGAGAGGATGGCCCAAATATAGAATAACTAAAAATGGTTATATGACTCAGGTGGATTTCTATATTATCACCATACCAATGACTGACTGGTACTTTCTTAAGTAGGTATGCATCTTCATATACCCTACTCTCATCAACATCCTCATCCAAATTCCAGAAATGTGTATGTTATTTTATATGATCTAAGAGTATGCAGACTGCTTACTATGAAACATAGTGAACCACATAAGGACTAGAGCAAGGCTTCTGGAAGCAGTGTGTCATGGTTGATTGATAGTAAGGAAACCAGTTGTCAGTCCTAGAAGAACAATGAGGTAAACTCCACCAACTGATGAGAGGGGGAATGGAGTTCCCCACCCCCCCAACCTCCAGAATGGAATGCAGCCCTGCAAGCACCTGACACCTTAACATCTGACTTGTGAACCCAACAGTGGGTCTGTAGGCTACAGCACTTTGAGATAACAAATGGATATTTTTTAAAAACACTAAATTTGTGGAAATTTGTTCTAAGAGCAACAGAAATTTAATATACTTAGGGGAAGTACTCCTTGGCCAAAATGAAGGGAGACATGGAGATAACACTGAAAAATAACTCACATATCCAATCACAACACTAACTGGAAAAAACAGCATTATGCATTGAATACTTGTATCAAGTACAATAGCCATAAACAAACAAAGCAATTAATCTCACTAAAACTGATTCAATGGATATTACCATATCTAAACTCATTTGCCCTCAAACAAATCTATAAGGTACCTAGGTATTTCTATCTTAGGTATGAACAATAAATGGCATTTCTAATATTGCCTGGTCCACTGGAGTTAAAAGGCTGCCCCCCCAAGTCCTTGTGTTTTGTCTCAGCCCACCACTCCTTACAATGCCACAGTTGCGAGGGGCTCTGTCAGCTGAGACTTCCTAAAGTCCACCACCTGTCTCCTGCCCCTCCATTTCCACCAAAAATGGTAGAAATGAGAAATAAAAACTCCAACACTCACAGTATTTCAGCTTCTCTTGGAAAAGAGGTGGAGGTATCCCATCTAGGTCAGTACCATGAATTGGTTCTGAAGTCTGCATTACATGAGTATTAGCCTGCACCTTTGCTGTAGAAGGCCCTGAGAAAGCAGTAAACCTAAGAGAAATCACCACTACTTTGAAGATATGTCTTCCATTTAGTGCCAAGGGGAATGTCATTAAATTGGTGATTTTTAAATAAAAATACACAGTATGGTTACTTAACTAAATATACTGATCAAGAGATAAAATTTTATACCAAATTTAACAATGTTGCATTATCACTTTCAGGAACTCTATTTCTGTAATAAGGGTAAAGAAAAATCATTCCTTCTTAACATTCTCCCTCAACTTCTCCCTACAATATCATTAGACAATTTCTTCTATAAAGAATCATTTTGTAATCCAGGGACTGAACTCCAATAACGAGAAACTTCAGTCTGTCAACTAAGAGAGATTCAAGAACAATATGAAGTCAATGGAAACTCTTGCCAAAAATCGGCTGCTGTGCTTAAGAGAGAAAACATATATCCATCGTATAAAGTTATATCAAGGTTGAATTGCTCCACATTAATCTCAAAACAGAAAAATGTGTTACAAGTGGTCATGTGGCCCATGTAAAATTAATATACTTAGCCTGAAATGAATTACTGTGGTTGAGAGGCACATATTGTTAACGCAGAAAAAAATTCAGTGCTGCACATGTTCTTAGATGCTCCCACTACAATAACAAAAACACATATTTAATTTATATTTTACATTTGAGGCATAACTTACCAATTTTGCAAGCTTCCCGTAGTCAATCCATCTGACAGTAGCGAAGTTTGTAGATTCTGCACAGTTGAAACCATGATTAAAACCAGCATGGTAGCCATAAGGGAAAGTGATCATAAATTCCCCGGCCTCCTGGGTGATCTGCAAATGAAGAATACACAATATTCTTCAGTAAAGAAACTTCTCAAATTTTTACTGCAATTAAAATATATTTCTTTTAAATAAAAAAAGCCATAATATCACTGCAATAACAATATAAAATACATTCCTCCAGAATCTTCACTAAAACCTGAAATAGTCTATTATCAAGAAATTTTTAAGAGACTTTTCTAAGCAGAATGACTTTCTGGCACTTAGCTCAATCACTTATGTAAAATTAAACGTACTCACCTTATTTTAACAAAGGCTTCAGTACTCTGTTTCATTTATTCATACTAGTTATGACTGAACATTCCCACGTATGAATACTTTAGCAATCTGCTTTACTGAAGTTATGCATAAAAACCCTCATAAATAATGATTTTAAATAAGAGACACAAAATTTTGGTGAACTGCTGGACAAGTTATGATTTCTCATTGGATGTATTACTAAATTATTCTTTCATAACACTCAGGAAAACATTCAATTTACTATACTCCATTTAATTGTCCAAGTTTTCTTGAGAGAAATAAATACACATGATGAGTAAGTATTTTTTTAAATATAGTTAAAATAACTTGCAAAGACATGTCAGTCAACATAAGAAATGCATTTATCCTGTTCCTACTTCTTAGACACAAGGTCATTTTTTTATAATCTGCAGAGTAACACAAAATATGAGTTATAAAAGGAAGAAAACATGAGAGCGTGAGAAATAAAGAGAATTTTATTTCCCCAAACTCCTAAGAGTAAAGCAAGTGTCCTCCTTGCCTAAAATACTAAATCCTATCAACACATTCTGAGCCTCAGGAAATCCTGAGTCCTACCACAAAGAGTAGCAGCCCAGCAGCCCCTGGCCAGGCAGATATGGAATTACCAGGGCTCAGCCCAGTTCTGTTTCCATTGTTCTGAGCCTCACTCAATGCAAGCCCACTCTCTACTTTCCTGGAGTCACTGAATCTCACTAATTAGATACTTCTTGCAACATGTGATAAAGCAAAATACACAACTGCTCAACTATAGTTGTGCTACTGAATTGAGAAAACAACCAATACTGTTCTACTGAATTCTGCCTACAAGACTTGTGTTTCCTACAAAGAAAATACTGGTCTGGCAATGTTTTTAAAAGAACACGTTGCTTTGACTGGAACTTCACACTTCAGGGTCCAGTCAATTTCAGAAACAGGTTATTTCCACTTAGGGACAATCTGAGGCTAATACACTGCCTTCATGGTAACAAACTGGTACGGAAGAACAAGGACAGTACAGAGGAAGTTCATTTCATTAGAAGCATCATTTTTTGCAGAGTAAAGGTTTGGCACTTAAAGCTCTTTTTAAAGTAAATGGGGAGACTGTGGCAGGTTTCATGGTTATCACACATACCATAAAAGAGACTGGAAAGTGCACACAATCCAAAAGTAGACATTAACTGCTGGCTACAAGGATTTTACACAAACACACACAAATACACACAAACTCCTGAATGTGTATGAATGTACTGAAAGAATACAAAATGAATTTCCAGTGAAAAATGCTTACCCAAAGTGAGAGGGCTGAGCAAGAAAGAGTGTGCCACTATATAACACGGCCTGTGCAAAGTCCTTTAGAGGGACCGGTGCAGTGGCACAACATACTAATCCTCTGCCCAGAGGCACTGGCATCCTACACGGGGGGGCCAGTTCATTCAAATCCTAGAATTCTAAGGTGAGAGCCTATACATATATTAGGGAGAGTTGCAGGCCAAAAACAAAGGGAAGGGATCCTGCCACAGTCTCCCCAATTACTAAAAAAGAGCTTTAAGCGCCAAATCATTACTCTGCAGAAATGATGCAAGTTTTCTCCTTTCTGTAGGTTTTCTCTCCGAAGACCAGCAGTAACACCCTAAAACCAAGGAAAAGGTTTTTCTGTCTTCAGGGACACTAGTTCAAGCCTTGACCTCTTGCTTTTAACACCCTTCTGAGGTGTTTAATGTAACTTGTGGCAACTACTTTTAAAAAACAAAACAACAAAACCCACCAGTCTCTGATGTGACACAAGCCCCCGTGGAGCAGTGGCCTCTCACGGGACAGCATGTACCCTTAAACAGTGCTACAGACTGCCAGCAGTTCTTGCTCCCAGTCATCCATGCTGCCCACCTGCACACACGCATCATAGTTTTCATAGGCAATGTTATGTGCGTAAATCAAAGGTTAGAGCAAACTCCTCCGAAGCCTGGCTAGCGCACAGAGACTCGGAGCAGCCAGAAACATCTCAGGCTGAAGAGCAATTCTTGGCACTTGGAAAACTTCAACACTGAACACAGACACACATTGCTCCAAAATAAGAACCACATTAAGGACACGGGATTAGCAACATGAGAAGGAAGATGCAGTCACCAGGGAAAAGCTTCTGCGATGAAAAACAGTAGGGATTATGGGAAGGAAGCTTGAATAATATGTAGAAAAGTAAGAGGAGCTATTTTTTAATGTAAGTAACCACGAGTAACTAAGTACTTAATCCTCCTGAACCTGAGAGTCTTTTTTATCCAGCCAAAAGCTATTTTTCCCCACTACAGCTCTTCCCATAAAAATGGGAAGAAGTAGTTTTTCTAACTATTCTGACCCAATAACTACCCATAGACACAAAGAATGTAAGATCTGGTATCTGCTGAGCTTTACACTCTTAATCTTCAGAAACTCCAAAGAAGCAATATCTGATTATTAAATCATCGAGCAATTTTTATTCATTATGAAATCTCAATTGCAGTATGACTCTATGCTCAAAAGCTGCATAGGGCTTCTATAATCACCAGTCCTAACCAAGATAAACACTAACAATCACTCTGGATCAGTTTTAAAACAGATCCCATATACATAAACTACTTCGCAACAGTTTTCTCTCATTTTGTAGAATTTGCATACATACTATTTTCAAAATTATTATAAGCAAACTATAATATGGAATCTTTAAATCTTTAAAAATATATCCTGAAATAAAAACAATTTCAAATTGGGTTTTAGATAAATAATTGTGGCCGAGTGCAGTAGTAGTCTAGCAGATAAAGTCCTCGCCTTGTACGCACCAGGATCCCATATGGGAACTAGGTCATGTTCCAGCTGCCCCACTTCCGTCCATCTCCCTGCTTGAGCCCCGAGAAAGCAGTTGAAGATACACCAAGCCCCTGGGATTCTACACCCATGTGGGAGACCTGGATGAAGCTCCCGGCTCCAGGCTTTGGATTGGCTCAGCTCCACCTGTTGTGGCTACTTGGGGAGTAAACCAGTGGATGGAAGATCTTTGTCTCTGCTTATCTCTGCAAATCTGACTTTCCAATGAAAACAAATAAAATCTTTAAAAAAAAAAAAAGCCTTTAAACAAATAATTGATCTTATGAAACAGAAATTAGAATGCCTCTGTCCCTGACATAAATATGCTACTTGAAGTCAAACACACATTAGTCTATGTTAAATTCACCATAAATACAGTCCTACACACAACAGTGAATGTGTGAAAGAGTAATACTAAAATACCTTGTCAAAGGGAATGCCATATTTCTTCAATACTGATGGAGAAATAAGTGTCATCTTGTGGCGAAGAAATGCATCACACCCTTGAGAACTACTTGGAAAAAAACCTAAATAGAAACAATACAGATAATCAGCACTGTGTCCAGTCAGTTAAAATTTCAGGCAGTTGATTATACTTTTAACTTTTGGAGCATTTACCATACTTTTGTGTAAGATGGACAAATGCCAAAAATCCTCACACAAAACTCTAGCTGGAGCCAAAGTCCTAAAAATTAAAAAATACATGAATATGTCTTCAAATACTGATCATTTTTAGCATACAAATGTGCTAACTTTGAGAATGTCATTGGTAACACGTTTGTATTCAACCTACTAAATATCTGATAAACAGTAAGCAGAGATTAAAAGAGTAGATGTGCTTTTTGATTGATTGGTTGGCTAATTTGAAAGGTGGCATGATGGGGGAGAGCTGTAAAAAGAAAGAGATCTTCCATCCTGACTCACTCCCCACATGGCCACAAAGCCAGGAGCTCAGAATTGTATCTGCATCTCCCTTGTGTGTGGCAGGGCTCCAATTACAGTAACAGCTGCATCAGTTTGGAGCTAATCAGTAGCCCAACGCCTGGGAGGGACCCAAATCAGTACTCTGAAATGGGATGCCAGCTCAAAGTTGAATCCTACTAAATACGAATTTTAGTAAAAGAATCCCTCATTTTAAACTCCTAGAATGAACCATTCCAGAAGTACTTATTCCAATACCTGACATATGTACACACAGAGCAGTTTCCCACATTTCTTTGTCTCTTCCAAATCAGATTAAAGCTGCTACTAATTTCCTGAGTCAACTTCCTGGCCAACACCCACCAAATGTTTGGAGCCTGCCTCACCAGTCTGTACAGAAGTGTTTTGAGGAGGCTTTTAAATGAGGAAGCCAACCATGCAGCAACCCTTTCATTCGACAGTATATTATGCACCAAGACACAGTCAGTTTTCTTCATCACTGACTTCAATCCAGCAGTTCTGTCTCAGGCTGACTCTCATTAACTCAGTGATGCAATCTAAAGGAAAATGAAAATGAACATGCTTAATGGCCTGCTAGTCCCTTCCTCCCTGAGACAAAGACAGCCACGTGGAAGGGAGGAGGGAAGCAAGAAGACAAGGACAGAAAAGAAACATGAAAAACAGAGGAGAATCACAGAGGGAGGGCACAGAAGGCAGAGCACACATTAGAACACACATGTGACATGTGTGAACAGCATAGAAAGAAAAACCACTTGTACTGAGCATTTCTTCTATGACCAAAAGCAATGGGAAAATGGCTGGAAATAAGAAATTTACCTTCATGGTTCACTATATAAAACTAAAGCAGGAATGTGATCCATCTGATGAAGAACTCTAGCTCTCATGAGAACAACTAATCATTGTTTTATCACATAGACAGAAGCATTCCCCATGATTACCTTTTAATAAATAAGCCTTTACTGATGCTGTAATGGCATCATGGGATAAGTTAAGTCACAGCCCACAAGAAAATAAATAAATAAAATAACAAATATGGGACTTGGCACTGTGGCATGGCAAAGAAAGCTGCTGCCTCCCCTACCAATATCCCATATTGGCACTGGTTCCAGTACCAACTACTGCACTTCTAACGAATTTCTGCTAATAGCCTGGGAAAAGTAGTAAAGAAAGGCCCAAGTGTTTGGGCCCTTGATACCCACAAGGAGGCAATATGGATAAAATTCCTGGCTCTTGGCTTCAGCATGGCACTTGAGAGTGTGAACCAGCAGATGAAAGAACACACTCCTCTTCATCATTCATTCTCTCTCTCTCTCGCTCGCTCTCTCGCTCTCTTGCTCTCTCTCTCCTTCCCTCCTTCCCTCCTTCTCTCCCTCCCTCCCTCTAACTCTGCTTATCAAATGCATTTTTAAAAACAAAAACCCAAAAGCCAGAAGAGAGTTTATGGGATAAAAGGAACCACTGACAAAAGGTAGTACATTTTGCCTGAACATCTGCACCTATATCTTAACAGGCTACAGCAGACAGGAGGATACAAAAAAATATATGCCCATAGCAACAGCAGAAATACTAACATACTCTACCATGTCAATAGGAATAAAATGTACTGTTTACACCATGTAAACATTTGGTGCAGTCTACTGTTTATGGTTAACATTAAAATGTTCGTGTGTGTGTATGTATAAGTCATTACTGGATAGAGAAAAAGGGCCATACTAACAAAATGGCCAGGTCTAGACAATAAGGTGTCAAGTTCTACACACCAACAATAAGGACCATATGCACATGAAAAACACACCCATTTTAATAAAACAGTTCAAATGGATATCAAACTGTTCAAATCTGTAACTTTGTATAGAACTGAAAGAATTAGGTTTAAATTAAAATTAATGAAGAAAGAAAAGTCTAGTTAGCTTTATTTTGATATGGATTTGTAGTCAGGACCTCAACACCGAGGTGGCTGGTCATAAGTTAATTTAAATTGGAAAAATCACTCAAGGAAAATAATTTGTAGAGTGTTAAGAAATTTGTATTGGCTGAGAATTTATAACATGGTAACATAATTACATTTTTTAAAAATACCTCGCAAACAATATCAATGATGTACAAAGCATTTGCCTTAAAAAGATCTGTTTCTCAAAATATCTGCCTGGCAACATTCATACTCTTATTTCCCTACTTACTTCATTTAGCTCACAAGCAAACCCAAAACCAGAATACTAATCTCTATTCAATTACAATATTATTTAACATAATTATAAATCATAATAGTACATAGTATAATATTTTTAAGGCAGAGCTGTCCTTCCTAACAGTGTCCTTCACAATACTCAGCTTTGAAGTCACTTGTACAAGAAACATATTTAATCAACTCTCATAGAAAAGATACCAACTAAATTTTTTAAAGAAAATTTTTTACAATGTCATGAGTTCCCTTAACAATCAAAGGTTTCATTCTCCATTAGGGTAACAACAATCCAACAAACAATAAGCAGGTAAAACAACCAGGCATAAAACACTGTCGCAAGACTATAAAATAACACTATTAACAAATCAAGAGAGGAGGAAGGAAGGTTAAAGTATTGCTTTGCTCTTAAATCTGTATTCTGAAATGCATAAAATTGTTCACCTTATAAAAATAAAATTGCAAAAGAAAAAATGTTATTTAACTAAAACTCATGTTAAGACAATCACCAGAGTTTTCTAAATATCATCAGTTACAGAGATAATCAAGTACAAGGGAAAACTTTTGAAAGTTCATTACGCATCTTAAATCAATTTTGTATGTGTATATGTGTGTGTGTGTGTGTGTGTGTGTTCCTTGAGGTTCCTTTTTTAATCATAACTTCTTTAGAAGAAACCTTTTAAACCGTTTAAATTAATTAGACTTTAATAAATAAAATTAAATGAAATGAAACTTTGGTGATTCTTTTAGATTCATTAACATATTTGAGAAACAGAATTAGAGAGATCTCAATCTTTCACCTCTATATTCATTCTCCACAGGATCTCAATGGTCAAACTGATACCACAGCCAAATCTTCTGGGTTTCTCACCTGAGTATAAGGGACCAAACACATGGACCATCTTTTGTTGCCTTCCCAGGCCACTAGCAGGGAACTGCATTGGGAGGTAAAGCAGCTGGTACTTGAACTGGTATCCATATAGGATGCCAACAGCACAGACAGTGGATTAACCCACTGGAATACAGCACAGGCCCAAGGTGATTTGTTACACATATATCACGATTAATCTGGGGAAGCTGATAGTACATATTAGCCACTCAGACAAGAATACTGGGGGAAAGGAGCAAATGAGGAAAAAAAGAGATCCATTATATGGCTTCATTTCCATGCTAGCAAAAGATATTAACACAATTTCATTAATTAAATTTAATTATGCATTCACTGGGTCTTTTCTACAGCTTTTCAACATTTATGAGATTAACATAAGGTATAAAAAAAAATAACCAGGACAGGCAAATGGAGAAGCCATAAGGATGGCAATTGGGATGTATATGTATACACATGCTTGTGCTTTTGTGTGTGCCTGAACTGAGGTCCTGGCTCCATTTCCAATTCCTGCTTCCTGCTAATGCACACCCTTGGAGGCAACCAGTAATGGCTCAAACACATAGGTTCCTACCAGCTGCATGGAAGACCCCAAATGGCTTCAGCCTAGCAAAGCCCTGCTGGTTCACTGAGAAATGAATTAAAGGGTAGATGATTTCTTTCTCTCTCTCTTTCTCCCCCACCCGCTTTCTCTCCCTCTTCTCCCTGCCACCTCTATATAAGTGTACCATTTAAAATCAGGAAAGAAAAACATAAAGTGAGAAACAATACATAATCACCACAAAAATAAATACTTTGGATATTAACATAGAGAATACAGATCCGTTGCTTCTGTGAGAGATCCTTTCAGAAACAGATGCATGTGATCTACACATGAACTTCTGTGTAAAGCTTATTTCTAAAAAGAGCCAATGTCATACATGATAAGAGAAATCTAGTAACTTCGACCTACTGACACTCCTGCTTGCAAGACTGACAACAGATTCATGCCACAGTTGGCCTCTTAATTGGTTACTCAGTGCTGGGATAGAAAAGCTTCCAGAACTTTCCTCTGCCTAATCGTAAATGTCCCATAACATACCAATCAACTCCACTGCTAGATCTCTCTGGGAACAACTACAGATAATGTTACACTGATCTTAAGATTGAAAAGGACTGGACTATCTGCTTGGTTTTACCACCTGAACACAACGTTAACTATGTAAAGGCCAAGTTTTTTCACTTCAAGCTAGCTGGTATAAAACTGACAATAAAAATCTCCACCTTATGGAGCAAATTCGTGGGCTAGAAGACACATGGCATTTTACCACATTCCTAACACCATTTTCTCATCTCACATTTTTCTCCCATGTTTCCCATAGACAACACAGACACAGGTCACCCAGAATTGGCAGGGAAAGCACAATGGAATCAAACACATTCAAGGCAAGGGAATCAGAATCTGCCCAACTCAATCTCATCTTTCCTTCCCCACATCCATCCCCAAATAACAGAAATCTTCCACTTTGCTCCATAAAAATCCCTGTCTCCCTGCAAGTTGGCATTCTCCTCCTCAGTTAATCCTCCCCAATTTTCTTGCCATGTCTCAGAACTATCAAGAATACTGCTCTATAAAATATCAAAAATATTTAAACACAGTGACATCACTGATATCAAATTATGAGGGAATCTAGCCAATAATAAGATACAAATACACACACCCTGGAACACCTTTCATTAATCTATGCCTAAGGCATGAGCTGGGCATGAAGGCACAGGACATATCACTGCACTTCACTTTTTAGGACTTACATGCAAACTTAAACTTAATTATTTATACTCAAGAGTGTTTTGTTTCTAAGCCTTTCAAAACCACATTTTTTCCATTGTTTATTGATCGATCCATTCAAAAAAAGGAGAAACAGATCAAGAAATAGAGTTCCTACCTGATAATTCACTTTCCACTTGCCCACAATGGCTGTGGCTGGGCAAGGGCTGAAGGAAGGAACCAATTCCACCTCTATGAAATTAGGGACCTAATCTCTCAAACCAACACTGCTGCCTTCAAAAGTCTACCTTACTAGAAATCCTAAAGTCAGGAGATAGAGTTAAGTACTGAACACCAGCACTAAGGTATGAGAGAACATGAATTTTTCCACCACATTAACCAATATGCTAAATACCCACCCCTAAAAAACATATCTTAATGTAATATTATCAGACTATCAACTAAATAATGTTTAAGGGAACAATTCTTACTATTATGAAAGTTAACGAAAGTGAATTTTTCCTAATTCCAAGACAGAAATATAAAAACAGACCATTTAGAATCTGTTTACAAACTTACCACAACTTAATATCTCACTTAATATCTCTTACTATCCTTCTATTATTTTTACCACTGCAACTCCTAGCTTTTTGGGTCGAAAACTCTCTTAGGCTGTTTGAAAACTGCTTCCCAGATATCCACATGCACGCCCTATTTGGAATATAATCTCAAGCAGGCCACAGCATCACCACCTGCATCCTACCACAGGCCTGTACTTGTTCCTCACACACACATTCCTGAGTAGCAGGTTAAGATTCTCTGATCTTAAGGCATATACCCACAGGCATATAACCATCAACTAAGCCAATCGTAATTCTTCTGGTCTCTGGCTGGACAGTGCTTTCTGTCTACTAAGGTGATAAAATCAATATAATCATTTAAAACAAAACAAAAAAAACCTCAACTCACTTCCACTCTTCTGTTGTTTAAAGCGATACTACTGCTAATCCTTCACTGTTGCCCAAACTGCTGGATCACATGAGTTTTTCTTACAAATAACCACAGTTTCCACCAGTGTAAGTCAGTTTCAATTTTTCAAAATTACAGCATTTTATTCACACTAAGATACAAATGGAACACTCATGAAAATTTTTACTTTCCCACTCTAATCTATATTTGTGCTTAACGTAATACAAAAGCAGTTGTCTTTGTCTAAAATAGATGAGATTTAGACATTTAAAAACTGAAAATCTCCCAAACTGTCATTCATGATTTAACATTATACCTCTATTCTCCTATATATTTTGTGATTCAACTATATCAGAGTAAAAATTAGAAAGAATGAAACAGGCATTACAGATGAACAAAACAAGCATAAAAATTACAACAATTCACTTGAGATTCTTTTATTGCATTTATGTCTACATAATATTGAAAAACTCCTGTATAAATGAGAAAACATCTGAAGGGCAAAATCAAACTCCTGGCTTTATTAGACACAGGCCTAATATCTTTCAGATAAAATATCTGTAGGTGCCACAGTCAATCAAGATTTCAATAGAAACTAAGATGAAAGCATTCATGCATAAAAGGCAAGTGTGATGATTATTATGCGCAGACAAGATAATGGAAAATATCCAAACCTACTCTGTACCAAATGTATCAAATGCCGCCGTAGACTAGACATTCTATCAGGCTCCATCACACTGACTGCCTTATTTTATCATGTTAATTATTTAGCAGGATTCAGTTGATCTGGCTGGCATCTGCTTAGTGGATACACATCCTCCAATACCTGATATTTTTTCCTGATTCAATTCTCAAAATAATGCAATAAAAATAGTTTCGAGTAAGCATGCAATTAAATTTAAGGTTCTTTTCATCCTTGAGATTTATTAAACTCTTATTGATCAGATAGATGGCACCCACTTTCCTGTATATTGTCTTCAAAACAGTTTACTTCTAAAGGTTAATAGATAGTTTCGTCAGAAATCTGAATGTGTAATTCAACACTTAGAGCTTAGTCTGAGCTTAATTTTCAGAGTACTCTGATGGTGCCATTAATAAAAAATGGCAGAACAATTATACACAGAACAGCAGAGGTCAGCACATAGTTTCATCACAGAGCTCACTGCCTATGTATTTAAGGATTACGGAAATCGTCTTCTAAGGCCTGCTCTTATCTATTATCCAGATCCAGAACTCATTCAACATAATATTCACAACATTAATCCTTAGCAAAGTTTAAGCGTACAACTACATTGCAATCATTACTATAATGTATTGCATTTTTTAAAACAAAAATGAGACTTTGGGCCTGGTGAAATAGCCTAGTGGCTAAAGTCCTTGCCTTGAGTGCACTAAGATCCCATATAAGTGCCAGTTCTAATCCCAGTTGCCTCGCTTCCCATCCAGCTCCCTGCTTGTGACCTGTGAAAGCAGTTGAGGATGACCCAAAGCCTTGGGACCCTACACCTATGTGGGAGACCCAGAAGAGGCTCCGGGCTCCTGGTTTCGGACTGGCTCATCTCTAGTCACTGCAGCCGCTTGGGAGTGAGTTAGCGGAGGGAAGATCTTTGTCTCTCTTACTCTCTGTATATCCAACTTTTCAATAAAAATAAATAAAATTTTTTTAAATGGGGTTTTGTACTTATTAGCCTGCCAGAACTCTACCAGTGCTTCTTACAAGTGAGATATTGTAACTGTTCTAATATTCTTCTATAAGTTGGAGAAATGTTAAATTTTTAGATATCTCTAAGAATTTCTAATCAGAACTGTCAAAGCAAAATACATGGTTTTCCAGTGTCCCCACTGCAGCAGAAAAAGCAAGCATTTAGAATGCGGAATCAGAATTTCTTTCCTAAAGTGAGCTAGCTCAGTGGTACTTAGCTTCACATCAGATTAAAAGGACATTGTTCACTGAGTGGTCGATCTTGGAAAACAACAAATCATCTTGCTCCCCAGTTGTTACTCAAGTAGTAACTTCACTTTCTCCTAGAAATAAGTCACGACTAGCTTAAAACTTCTTTGGTAAGAGTTGCTAGCAAAACAGAAGACACGGATGGCAGGGCCTGGATCTGAGTCCCTTTCTCCATGTGTAAACAAATGAGAGCAGGGCTGCCTCTCCGATTTTTAAGAAAAGAAGAAAGTATAAAGTAGGCTAGCACTTCAGACTCACAAACAGGTGCAAGATGAAACCATCACTACAGAGCTGCCAGAAAAACTCTTCATTCTGACCCATACAAAGATGGAGAAGTAGATTAAAAGTAAGAAATCAAGCTGAGGTAAAGTTTCATTTTGCTTATCCAAAAAGGCACACAATCTCTTGTGCACTGAGCCACCAGGGGCATTCACTTCATAAAGGGAGTCCCAGGCTGCAGGTCACAGAAGTGGGCGCAAGACATGATAAAGCGCAACTCTACGGGGAAGCAATACAGCAGGATAAGAGTATTGTGAAACACCTACACCCTGACACAGCGGCAGTACACTTTGAAAGAGCATCACTTAACAGCATGAAAACCACTGCTGGTATAATTACGCTGAATACATTATATAGAAGCAAAAATAATCTTTGAAACAACTAAAACAGAGTAACTGAAGTCACTTGATAAAATATTAAGCAGCCAACAAAAACAGTTATGATATTATGAGAAGAAAAAAAATTTCAAAATAAATTTTAATTGTTCAGTTATTGTAACCTTTACACCCCTGTAATCTCGAAATAACAAAACCAAGAGTGTCAAACCACAATGTTAAACACCTCAAAAGCAAAGAAGCTGTTACGGTTAAAAAAAAAAAAAAGGAAAGTGAATTTTACCTTGAGCTAGTCTTTCAAGTCGTTTTCCATGCTCCGGGGGTATAGCATACCTAAAATTTTAAACATAAATAAAAATTTCAGGTTTGTAACTTTTCATCTGTTATTCTAAAGATATCTACTCATAAGTGATGTTATAAAAAAAATCTGCACTAAGCTTCACTTAAGTGAACTGTGATTTAAAAAAACCAATCATTCATATCCTTCAGATATTGAATGGAAGGAAATCAAACTTACAAATTCTCTATTTCAATGTCCTGCCAACCAGATGTAAAGGAATGGAAATAACAATCCAGGACCTGTAAGCCACTTAGCAAAGGGGTGGCTAGTCACAGCCCTGAGCCACTCCACATTTTCATAGCACTTCAGCACTCTGCAGCTAATTTTGCTTGTAGGTTTTTTTGCTTTGTGGTTGGTTGGTTTTAGCTTTTGCTTTTAAGAAAACTTGGGTCATCACCATTTTAACCATTAAAGTATTATGATTAATGAATTGGATATTATACCAAAGTTCTATTTCCTCCAAATTTTTCTCAAAATAGTGTAACGTTCAAAATATTTTAATTCAAAACCCACTGGTTGTTTTAAAACATTTTTATTTATTTCATGATTGCATTACTTTCAAAATCTTTAAATTCCTTGTAGGGAGTGTGGGGATGGTCATTTCTACCTTGAAATTTTTACTATGAACTTAACAGCAAGGTTTAAAATGACAATATCCTATAAAAAATACTACATTTCATGGGAATTTGTAACTAGGAAAACTGATCATTTGATAGTTCAAGTAAAAATGACATGATAATTTTGAAAACATTCATGTGTTATTTGCTTGATATATATAAGGACAATAAGTTAATTAAACAGTTAATATTAACTCAATTGCATTTAACACCAGTAACCACATATGCAAAACTTAAATGCATCCACTGTAACTAGGCAATCCACTAAAAGCAAAACGTCAACCATATATCCTGCTCCTTAAGGTAATGTTAATGAAATTAATCCTATTGAATTAAGACAAAAAGGATTAGCATAACTAAACAACTTTCATTGGATGTGTGTTTATTGACACACTTCACCAGCTTGTAATCCCTGCGTTAGGTCACATACAGTCAGAAAAGGGAAAAACAAAGCACATCCATACATGCATGTTTGTGTTCATGTGTGTGTATGTGTCTCACACAAGAGGCTCAGCTCCCTCGTGATGCACATGCACACAGGCAATGGCCTGTGCCTCTTCACAAGCGGTTAACTGCGAGCGAAGACATTCATACATCCAGAATCGCTTCTCGAAAAAATGGGCAAATATAAGCTTCCTCCACCTGTTCACAGAAGAGCTTTGCGAGCAGCTGCGAGGGAAGGAGGGAAAACACAGCTCTCCCGCAGCCACTTCTGCCAATGCCCTAAAGCCTGCACTCACAGGAACTCACTCCCAAGGCATCTCTTCCCAGGAAGCCTTCACCAACTTCTTTCCTAAGTTCTTTTCTACAAGAAAGCTATTTCCCAGTTACAGCTGTTTCTGTCTTAGGCAGAGCATTAGTTTAATTGGTTTTACTTTTTTTTTTCAGATTGTATACAATGTCTGAATCCAATGTAACAGGTCCAGTTCATTTTCCATCATTATTGATTATCAGCAAATTTCTCAGGGCTGATACAGTGGCTTAACAAACTAATCCTATGCCCATACATGCACTGGTTTGAGTCCCAGCTGCTCCACTTCCATTCCAGCTCCCTGCTCATCACCTGGGAAAGCAATGGAGAATGTGTCAGGTTCTTAGACTCTGGCACCCACATGACAGCCCCTGTACCCACAGGCTCTTGGCTACTGGCTTAGGCTGACAGCTCTATTGTGGCCATTTGGGAAGTGAATCACTGGATGGAAGAGCTCTCTTTGTGCCACTTTCTCTCTGACTCTGACTTTTAAATAAAATACAATAAATTTTGAGAAACAATAAAATAAAAAACAGTAAAAATATTATGGATATCAGACCACTGCTACATTTCAACAGTGGCAGAAAGCACCAAAGGGTGTAAAGTACTCCCCATCACAACTTCACATTCAGAAAGGTACCACATGCAAGGCAAACATCCCATATCTCAACTGACCCACTAGTGACCCAGCTCCCTGCTAATGCACCTGGGAAACCAGTAGAGGAGGAGGGCCCAACTATGTCTACCTTTGCTACCCAAATTGGAGAATAAGTTCCTGTCATCACTGTGGCCCTTTGGGAAATAAGCCAGAGGGTGGAAGATTTTTTTCTCTCTCTCTCCTCTCTCTCTCCTCTCTTTCTCATCTGTACCACACTCCAGCCCTCATACATCTGCATGTCAAATGGAAAAAAAAAATCTAAAAATTGGAAAAGAAGGGGCCAGCACAGATGTTGTGCTGGCATTCCTTCTGGGTGCCAGTTCATGCCCCAGCTGCTCCATTTCTGACCCAGCTCGCTGCTTATGACCTGGGAAAGCAGCTGAGGATGGTGCAAATCCTTGGCCTCCCACACCCACTGGAACACCCAGAAGAAGCTCCTGGCTCCCAACTTCAGATCGCCTCAGCTCTGTCCATTGCGGCTATTTGGGATGTGAACCTGCAGGTGGAAATCTCTCTTTCTTTTCCTCCTCTCTCTCTAAAAATCTGCCTTTCAAATAAGAAATACATTGATCTTTAACAAAAAAAAAAAAAGTAATCATAATATATTGCAATTACTTAGTTTTTCATCAAGCTTAATAATGTAGGAGAGAATGGTTTTAAATATTAGGAAATCATTCAAAATCAATTCATCCAATTTCTTACTATTATCAATGAATTGATATCACTATCTTACTCAGCACTCAGGGAACATTACACACACATATGTCCTATTCACAACCACAAAACTGCTCAAAGGACACTGCCATTCCTTTACTCACTTATCTTTCTCCATCTAATAAAATTCAAGAATTTTTAAAATCTATTTTGAGGTTCCCTAACCTTTTTTTTTTCTCCTCTACATTGTTAAAGGAACAGGATCACCAATACTTCTAATGACCAGCAACAAATGAGAACCAGAAGATGAACAAGGACACAGAAATATAACCACTGGAGCCATAAAACCAAGCAAGCTTACTCTGTAAAACAGCTACCCATTGATGAAAAACTTTTCTCTTTTCTGTCTCTTCCTCTCGCTTTGTAAATTTAGTAAGTAAAATAAACATATCTCTAAAAAATGAATTACAAAAAAAATTCACTTTGCCAATAACACTAGTTCTGTTAGTGCAGTAAAACGGGGCACAAAGGGATACTTTGATAAAAGCTATGCGCCTAGGGCCCATCACAGTGTCCTAGCAACTAAAGTCCTCACCTTAAAAGTGCCAGGATGGGGACCAACGCAATAGCATAATGGTTAAGGTCCTCACCTTCAATGCACCAGAATCCTATATGGGCGCAGCTTCTATCCTGGCAGCCCTGCTTCCCATCCAGCTCCCTGCCTGTGGCCTGGAAAAGCAGTCCAGGACAGCCCAAAGCCTTGAGACCCTGTACCTGCATCCAAGACCCAGAAGAGACTCAGGGCTCCTGGCTTCAGATCAGCTTAGCTCCGGCCAATGCGGTCACTTGGAGAGTGAATCAGTGGGTACAATATCTTCCTCTCTGTCTTTCCTCCTCTCTTTATATTTGATTTGCCAATAAAAACAAGTATATCTTTACAAAAAAAAATATTTAAAATACATTGATATGTATACACACATACATATATATTTCCATTTGAAAGCAAGATTTTAAAGAGAGATGGAGAAAGAGAAAGATCTTCTATGTACTGGTTCACTGCCCAAATGGCTGCAATGAGCAGAGCTGAGCCAATTTAAATCCAGAAGCCAGGACCCTCCTCCAGGTACAGGGACCCAAGGACCTAAACCATCCTCTACTGCTTTCCTATACCATAATCAGGGAGCTGGATCCGAAATAAGGCAGCCAGGACATGAACCAACAACCACACAGGATGTCAGCCCTGCCAATGGCAGCCCTACACTGCACTAGCTGTATGCAATAGGGTATTTCCAAAATCTAGCCTGCTACAGGACATAGATATGGTGCTTAATAAGAATTTAATAAACAAATAAGAACCAAAACAAGTAAGTTCTTTGCACATAGTCAAATTTTACAAATGGAGGGGAGAGGTAAAACACAATAACTTCCAAATTTGGTTAAAAATAATTTAAAACATGGCCATACAAAGCTGTCAATATATAACAAAAACCTTCCCAATTGCTGTAATTAGAACAGTATTTGGCTCCCCAATTCATGAAGATGTTTATGTCTCAATGTCATGAAATATGGTGCTGAGTAGAGATTTAAACTAATAGTGGTGACTTAGGTGAGGCTTAAGGAAGGGACGGGATGGAATGGGCTTGCTGGAAGGGAGCCCCGCGTTAAAGAGTCCTGAAGGCTGTATAACCAGCCACCCCACGAATGAACACGGTCCTTTGTTTCTGAACTCATCATGTCACTGTCCTGTTGCCATCTGCTGACTTCAGCATATACCCAAACCACTGGCTCACTCAAACTATAAACCTCAAAACTATAAGGCAAAATAAATGTTCCTTTCTATTGCTCCTCTCAGTTGCTTCAATTCTTGTCACATAACTCCAAATCATAGGACCTGGCCTTGTGGCACAGTGAATTAAGCTATGGCTTAGGATACCAGTATCCTATATCAGAATCAAAGCTACTCCTCTTTCAATCCAGCTCCACGCAGGCACAGGTTCAGGACCCAGCTGTTAACACTTCCAATCCATCTCATGGCTGGTGTGCCTGGAGAGCAGTACAAACGGCCCAGGGGCTCGGGCCTCTCTCTGCACCCTCATGAAAGACCGAGAGGAAGTTCCTGACACCTGGCCTCAGACCTGCCCAGCTCTTGCCAATCGTTTGGGAAATAAGCCAGTGCACGTAGGTTCTACCTCTTGGAGTCTCCTTTCTCTGTAACTCCACCTTCCAAGCGAATAAATAAATTACATAGGAAAAAGCTGGGGCTAGCACCATGATGTAATAGCTAGCTGCGCTAGCTGTATGCAGCACCAGTAT